TCTCTTCTCTTCTCTTCTCTTCTCTTCTCTTCTCTTCTCTTCTCTTCGTTTGAATTGAATGGGATAACTCCCCTATCCGTATCTTTGCCCTGAGCTCTAGTTCTATACAGGCTCCTCCGAAAAGTCTTAGTACAGTTTTAAACTAAACTGAAAAGACTTTTGCGAAACCTTGTATTTTCATCTTTGGTGGACACCTTTAGAGCCTGAATTTCAATGTGTCCTAAATTGAGCTCCAAACCCTGAATGCCCTTGGAACTGCTTTGTCTGATTAATTTCCAAGTCCTATAGATTCTGCCTTACCAGTATCTGTAGAGACAGTTCCTCTCCCTAACCACAAAAGTTGCTACTGCCTTAGTTCAAGGCAACTCTTCCCCACTTTAACCTTTCTTATGGACTGCTGCAATAAGTTTTCTAACTATTCTCCCTGCTTTCAGTCTCTCACCTCTTTAAAACATCTCTTATACATTTGCTAAAAAGACCCTCCTAATGCATTGGTCTGATTTTGTCATTCCCTTTTGCCTGTAGGATACAAACTCATTTACCTAGTATTTAAAGATCTCTAGATTCTGATTCCAAACTACCTTTCCCACTTTATTTTATTCTACTACTATTTACTTACATTTATGTGTTCCAGTCCTCCATATGCATAGACTGCCTGCCATGTCTAGAATACAAGAATCTATAGATTTCTTGTTCACAACACCTTCTTTCAAGTTGCACTCAGCTCAGGTGCCACCTCTGTGAAGTGTTCTTTACTTACACGTCCCAGCCCTCAAAAGTCATCATTTCTACAATTTTCTTAGCACTTTCTCTAGATCTTTCATATAAAATTTAGTGTTAAAAGAGATCTTGGAGATTTAGTCCAATCCTCATTTTAAAAATGATTATGCCTAGGCCTAGAGAAGGAAACAACTTGCTCAAATACACATAGCTACTAACCAGCAGAGCTGGAATTTAAACCCAGATGTGCTAACTCCAAATCTAGTACTTTATAAAACTTATGTACATGTGTGTGCTTTGTATACATCTAAAGGGTTCATCAAGTATTATATATGCAAATATGTATATACACACTCACATACACATGTGATTCATAAAGTCCTTTACCAAAAACAATCATGCAAGGTAATCCAACTATTTATAGTAGGAACAGTGCTGGATCAGTCAGAGGTCTTGAAATCAAATCTTGACTCTTCTACTACTTCCTGTGTGATCTTGAGTAGATCATTTGACTTCTTTGACTTTTATTGTCCTCAGTAATTACATGAGAGTGTTAGACTAGATGACCTCAAAGATCCCATCCATCCCCAAATCTATGAAACTCTGGTCCCCATTTTACAGATAAGTAAACTGACACTCAAGTGACTTGATTGTGGTTACATAGCTAGTAAAATGTTGGAGCTGGAATGGAATACAGCTCTCATAACTGCAAGCCTTAACACCCTTTATCACATCAAGCTGTCACTGGAGTGCAGGGTGAGGGGTAAGTTTGTACACAGATTTTTATTGTGTGTGTCTCATCTAGCACATTATATTGTTAAGTTCCTCAAGGACTGAGACTTTCTTTCATCTTTGTTGTATCCTTAGCATCACTGCTTTGCCACCTAGTGGATTGTTAACATATTGGCTAAATTGATAAGGTTCATAATTAATTTTACACTTAAGGTAACAGATTAGCACTGTCCTAGGGAGTACAAAAGTATGACACAGTACTTGTCCCATGAGGAACTTAAAATTTAGTTGAGAGGGAGGCAGCACATGTTACAATACCTAAAAAAATTTGACAGGATAAATGCTATAGAAATTCAGGCTAGGAATGGATCACTGCAGGTTAGAATTTCCATATTATAAGTTCATAGGATCATAGATTTTAGAGCTGAAAGGGAGCATGGGGACATATTGATAAAGGATTTTAGAATTTTATGAAAATAAAACAGACTATGTTGCAGAGAAGAGTACATAATTATGTCTTTTCTGTAGGATGACTCCTGTAAAGTAAATAGTTCCATTTTATAAACTGTAGGAGGCTTAAAGGATAGGTGGGAGATCCTACATTTTTATCACTCATGACTGTTTTTCTTTTCTGCAAGCCAAGGGCTATATTAAAGTAGTACATTGTTTGACACAGTTTATCTTTTCAGTTCTATTAAAGTATGTTGTATCTTTTAGAGATACTTAATAAATATTAATCTCTATCTATTGTCAAGTACCGAAATTTTGTTGTAGAGAATTACATCTAACAGCCTATTTAGAGTTTTTGTTTTTGTTTTTGTTTGCCTTTGAACTTTTCACAGAGTCCACATTTTAGTCTTCGTGTTACACTGATCCCCAGGTCATACTCTCCTACTTTCTTGGCTAGTTTGGTGCTTGGTTCACAATATTCATTTCTTTCCCAACTCCTGTTCTTCTACTAAGAGACTTGAATATCCTCAAATGTTCCATCCTCTCAGTTCTTCAGTGTCAAGTCCAATTACTCTCTTCTTTACCTCAGCCAATTATAGGGGTGGATCAGAAATTAGAACTCACTATCTATCCTCACATATTCCATTTCCCAAATTAGAACCTTTGACATTCCCCTCTCTGACCATAATTCCATATGCCTCCATCCTTCCTAAATGTATTCTCCTTTAAGATCTCCAGAAATTGTTCTCCTTCCGTCCCTCAGTGTTTTCTCAGGCTGTTAACCCTGCTCTGATTTCCATTTTCTCCCTTTGTAATCTCTATCCAATAGTTAACCTTTTCAACTATGCACTGTTCTCTGTTCTTGATTGCCTTGTCCTATTGCCACTCATCCTTACCAGACCTTAGCCTTGCATTCCTCTAATCATCTAGCTCGTCTGCTATTATTGAGGAACTGCTGAACACTGCTATAGAAATATAAAAATTCCCACCCATGCTGATTGACTGTATTACATTATCATGTTATCTAACCTCAACTAGATCCTCCCTGAGACAAGGCAGTACTTTTATTCCTCCCTAATTTTCCTTTTTCATTCCACACAGAAGCTATTTCAAACCTCTTCTCTCCTCAAGCCTCCTTTACCTTCCCTTCTTTCTCAACTGAGGGCTTTTCTTTTTCTTTTTTTTGCTTTTTGGTGAGGCATTCAGGGTTAAGCCCAGGGTGAAGGCCTTTCTTTTTCAGTCAGAAAATAGAGACTATTCAATTTGAACTCCAGTTCCTCCCATTTACTTAATCTTAAAGTGCATTGATATCACCTCCCCTTCTCTCCTTTTTTCCTTTCCCTCAGTTTCCGGCAGAGATGTGGCGCTTATTGCCAAGACCAACTACTTTACATGTGTACTTGATGCCTTGATCCTCTCCGCTCTCCAGTCTCTCTCTCCTCCATTCTACTGATTTCTTCTTTACTACCTTCATACATGCCAGTTTCTAATCTCATCTTGAAAAAACCTTCACTATACTCTTCCATTCTCCTCAATCTTTTGTTCTCTATCTCACCTCCCCTTTTCACCCAAACTCCTTGTAAGAACTATCTATACTCTCCACTTTTCTCTGCTCTCACTCTTCAACCCTTACTTCATGACCCATCACTCAATTGAAATTGCTCTCTGAAGTTTTCATTGATCTCTTAATTGCCAACTCTGGTGGTCCTTTCTCAGTCCTTATCCTTCTTGACCTCTGCTGTATTTGACACTAATGAACTCCTTGAGCAGGGACCCTCCCCCCCCAACCATTTTTGTGTCTTCATTGTTTAGCACGATGGTTAGGACCACCTAGTGAGCTTGTTAACTGACTTGTCCTACTACTCCTCTATCTGTTTTGCTGGATCATAATCCTTTTCATGCCCCCTAACTGTGGATACTCCCCAAGGTTCTGTCCTAAATTCCTTTAACCCTCTAAAATTCCATAAGTTTAATGATCATTTCTCTGCACATGACTCAAAATCAGTCCCTGTCTCTCCCCTGACTTTTAGTCCCATGTCACCAGTTGCCTATTGGGTATTTCAAACTGGATACCCCAGAAGCATCTTAAATTCTGCATGTCTAAAACTGAATTCATCTTTCCCCTTAAACCCTACCCTCTTCCAAATTCCCCTGTATCTATCCAAGGCATTGCCATCCTTTCAGTCTCACAGATTCAGAACTTTGGCATTACCTTGAACTTCTCACTCTCCCTCACCCAAGACATCCAAACAACATCTTTCATATCCATTCTCTTCTCACCACTTACACAGGTACCATCTTAGTTTAGGCCCTCCTTGTGTTTTGCCTCACATGCCTGGAATGCACTCCATCCTAATAGAGTACTACTCTTATTTAAAGAGAAGTACTTGCGGCTCAAGAGCATCTTCTGCATGAAGCCTTTTCTAATTATCCCAATTTCTTGTGCCTTCCTTCCCAAACTACTTTGAGTATATTTGTATTTGTTTACTTTATATTTAGGCCATATATATTTATAGATTTAATTGTCTTCCCCATTTGAATAAAAACTTTGCTTAATAAATACTTATGGATTCCTTGATTGGATATCACCTTTACTAGAAGATTTAACCTCAGTTAATGGGAGACTCAAATCAGTTTCTTGTTCATCTAGGGCAAGGAGTTTCTTGTAGGAGATGATATTGAAACTCTCTAAAATGAGACTTAGCAAATTATCAGTAGATTTGTTATGTGTGTGATGTTCTGATGGTGACTAGTTCATAGTATTTATTTGATGACCTTTTTTCAGCTTGGTAACTAATAATTCAAAGTATTTATTAGTCTTGAGAAACTTCTGTAAGTATCTTTCAACAGGTACACAGAGAAACACACCTTTGCTGCACCTCTAAACATTAACTACCTTTAAAATTCTTGGTTAATATACTTATTTGTATAGCCCTTTTCAGTTTAATATATGTTTGATCCCTGTATAGTCAACTTTTGTCACTTTTGTTCTCCCATTTTATGAAGAGAAAATGCAGTCAGATAACCGAAATGATAATATAGCTTTAACTTAAAGTTTATGTATTTAGTCTTTTGAGCATTTGAAATCAGGAAGACCTGAATGTAGAAGCTACTTGGGACACTTAGTAGCTGTGTGAGTCTGGGAAGTTTCTTTACCTACCTGAACATAGTTTGCTTATCTGTAAAAAAATATGAATCATCTTCTCTAGGTGTTATGAGGATCAAATGAGATAATATGTGCAAAGCTCTTCGAAAACCTGGAAGCACTATTTTTAAAAGTTAGCACTTTCTCTCTACATGTGTATATAGAGTGGGGGAGGGGATGTGTGTTTATATGTATGTCTGTATATCTTCATGTTGAGATGATTGTCCCCATAATTAAGTATTTTCATAGAATGTGCCCAAGTTTCTATCCAGTGTTTTGTTAGTTCATGTATCAATCCCAAGTATGTAAGTTGACTGGATATGATAGAAAAAGCAAAAGAATATAGTCAAATGTATATTGGCCATATGTGGCTTGGAATCTTTCAGTCAAAATGTCTTTAATTTAGCATAACTTCTACAAAAGTTCTATTCTTGTGAAAAGAAATTGATTACCTGAAAATTATTTTAATTTCCATTCATAACTGCAAGTCACACATTGATAAAGTGTTGTCATCTCTCAGCACAGGTGTCCCAACTGTCTTCACAGAGACAACTCCATAACTATATAATGTGACAGCAAGGTGAAGAGAGTACATCAGGTAAACAGAAGATTGGGAATAGAGAAAACAAGATGAGTGTTCCTGCAAGTAGTTGCGGTAGCCCCAGTTCTGCAGAAACAGTCAGTGATTTCAAAGATCTCTGGGCAAAACTGAAGGAGTGTCATGACAAAGAAGTACAAGGTAATTTTTTTTCAATGTTGTTTTACCTTTCTTAAGTAATGATATTATAAAGATGCACATTAGATAAAAAAGAACTGAATTTGGCCAAGTCTAGAAAAAGCCCTTACTTTTTGAATGCCACAGACATCTGATCACTTTGCTAGGGATAATTAACTTCAGTTGACCATTTGTGCTCCATTTTGATTGCAGTTAAAGTAACTTTGGTCTACAAACAACCACATTTGTATTCATGAATAATTGTGTGTTAAATACTTTCCTCTCTGTGGTTTGTTTGTGGTGTGAATAGACTTGATTTTCCCTTCTAGCTCTAAAATTCTTAGATTGTAACGCACTTATTGCTGGAATGTCACTAAAACCAGAATCATTGTAATATAAGATTCATTGTAAAATCTATCAGTTTTAGAGCCTGTCCAAGGCATTTTAGTTATTTGAAGGACTTTATGGCATAGCCTCAATCTTAAAATAACTTGGTGAGACCCTAATGATACTATTACTGCAAGCTCTAGCATTATTATTTAGATTTTTTTGGATTTTCCTATGATTTTTAGTTTCATTAGGATTACTTTTTAGTGGAAAATGTTTCATATAAAATGTATTATAAATCCAGTCAGGTAGTAACTTTTAAAATTGTTAATTTGGCTTTTAAAGTTAAATTTTCACTTTTTTTACCGCTCGAATATATGCTCACAAAGTAATATAATTAGAGTTCTGTACTTTACTGGACTTCATTATTCCTTTGAAATTTTAGGTAACATGAATGACAACACACTAAATAAAACTGAAGAGTGCCATTGATACTGTTTTGCTTCTTTTTTGAAAAAAATTTGATTTGCCATATTACCTTGTGACATTTAACGTGTTAGCTTTAAATAGTTTTTCTGCATCTAAAATGAAAGTCTTATCATGTGTCCCTTTCTTGCATTGGTGGATAAATGATTAAGATACATGAGTTTGGGGGATGCATCAATTAAAAGATCTTAGAGCTAGATCTGTAAGATTAGTCAAGGAAAATTATAGAGAAGCTCCAGTTGTCCCATCTACAATATTTTTTTATGAAAATATTTTTGACTTTAAGTTTAGACTAAACAGACATTTAGATAAGGCCATTAATATAAAGAAGCAATTTTCACGATCTACCAAATAACTGCACCCACCCCCAAACCTCCATCTCCCATTCTTGGGAGGAGCTTTTCTAGAGAATGTTTAATTGTGGCTACAGTATGAGTAAATCAAGTAGAGCAGCACTAAGTTTGAACTACAGTAGTGTTAATGGATATTTTTAAAACTTTATATTCCTTGTGATCTGGAAGTGAAGTAAGGTAACCTTTTAAATTAATGTAGCTTGGGTTAAAGCAGTCAAGAGTCAAAAAGACCTGGATTCAAATCTAACCTCAGAAACTAGCTGGGTGACCCTGGACAAATTATTTAACATCTGCCTGCCTCCGTTTTCTCAACTGTCGCCTCTCCCAGGTTTGTTGTGAAGATCAAATGAGATAATATTTGTAAAGCACAGTGCCTGGCACATAGATAATTGATAAATGCTTGTTTTCCCTTCTTCCTTCCTTAATGGGACCAAATGTTTAAGTAACTGCATGTTACCAAGAACATCTGTGAAAGAAAAATTAACATTTTACCAAATTTTATTTATGAATATTTTAAAATATTCATCAATTAATCTTACCTTTATAACCAATAGCTTTAAGAGCTTTGTTTGCATTACCTTTAGGGATCCTGTGGTATTTAATAGATTTTCTTGAATGCTAGTTTTTTGTTTGTTTTTTAATGCCTATCAGAAACCAGCAAGCTTAAGAATTCTTTATCCAGATAGACTCGGGGCAACTTCATTAAAAACTCTGTTTAAAACTAGGACTTTTCAGATACTTAACTTGATGTTGATAATTTTTCAATAACATTGCCTTTTTTTTAATCACATTCGTTGTTTGAGATTCCTTATCTTCCGATAACTCACCTTTTAAGGAATATGAAAGTCTCATGGGGGGAAAACACAGTATAATTCTTTATAATGCAGCTTGCTTTTTTATATCCTCTAGGTAATAAATTATACAATTGCTGTGAACACTCTAATCAGTCATAGTGCCATCATTAGTTAAGTTCACACAAAAAAATTCCCAAGGGAAATCCATCTGGCAAGTCATGACTTGTTTGCCTACCATGAATAATAAAGAAAAAGGGAAAAATTCTGTAGTTTAATGTACAAAATGTCTTTCCTTTCCCATTTATTTGGTGGTATTTTACAGATTCCTAAAACTTTTAAATGCTAATTTAAAGGTCATTTAAAAACATACTTTAGGTGAGTTCAGTCAAATTTGCCAGCAGGCAGACTTTTTCATGCTTAGCCCTTTGTCAGTATTTCTCATCCAAAACTTTTGTATAAAATTAGATCCTCTGACTATGTGATAACATCAAAGACATGCCTGAAGGATAGTTAATTTTTTAAGAAGGTGGGGATCCTCTTATAGAACTAGTGTAAGAGGCTATTTGAGAAACATCAAACATGGACTTGCCTGGACTATATTTGTTTTGAAGTTTATAAATAGAGATGAAAATTGACTAAATTCTTTTAAATCTAGGTGTCAGCAAAAAGCAAGTTTTTATGAATAGTGGTACCTGAAGAAGATGGCATTTTCACTTGAATATTCTGTCCACAGATAAATATTTACATGCACTCAAACACCTTCCCATATGTATCTAAAGGCAAAATTTGGTCAAGCATGTGTATGTTATTTTATTGTGCCACAGTGTAATTATGGTTGGAGATTTTCTCTTAAAGATTGTTTTCATCCCATATATGTTCATAGGACATGAAAACAGGTTTTCATAAATGAAGTTTTTGCTTTAGGACTTTCAGATAAATTATTTCATACTAAAGAAAGTATATACTTACCACAATGTGTTTTGTAATTTTATTGTACCAGATGTCATGTAAGTGTAAATACCATACATAATATTGTTATTTATTTAGCTTTTATATTTTAGAAATGTCTCATGAAGATTTTAATTTGTTCAGAATTGATAGAAATTATGTTTTGAAGTTTCCTTATTTTTCTTGATGAATAACCTTTCAGGTAGTCTTGGATTCCTCTTCCTTTCTATATTTATTCTTATTTGTCTAATTACTTTCAGGTGCAAGATGCATTAATGATGAATTAGAATTTAGAAAATTCTCTTTCCCAGATTCATTATTGTTAAAATAATGTGGATGCTCAGTTCAGTTGTATTCTTATACCTTAGTAAAAGTATTTTTCACACCTTGCAAGTATGCTCAGGAGCTCATAGAAAACTGAATAAATGTTATTATTATAAAATTAGAGTTACAACATATTTTTGAGCCTATTGACTTTCAAATGGAAATGGGACAGTCATATTAACAGAAAAAACACGTTTCTTTTCAGTTTTATCTTGCTCCTAAAAGAACAGACATGATACACTTAGTTTCTTAAGAATGTCTGCATTTATTTTATCAATCACATTAATATTCACAAACACTGATATAGTGAGATGAGGACTGAAAATAAAGAGAAATAACATACAGTTTCTGTCCATAACTTCAGAATCAACTGTGTGGGTCTTCTGTAATTTCCTATGGTTTCACTGCAATTTGCCAAAGTACAGAACAGCATTCTAGAGATTTTTATGAAGACTTAAAAGAGAGGTATTCTGTTTTTAGTGTAGTATTGAAATCTTTCTAAGCAAAATGCTAGTTAAATTTCAAGGATAATTCATTGTAGCTTCCCATAATATGCCAGCATTTCCACAGTGACAGGTCTGTGACCTTACTCTTTTTCATTCTGTTAATGTATATCAGTAAATTTAAAAGTTTTAAGTTCACATAGATGAAACTGTCCACATTTAATCATTTATTTGAGATTAAGATATACATTTATATGTCATAAATATGGGCAAACAATATGCATTTAAAGATTTTAACTTTGAAATTTCTGTCCACCGGAGGAACACTAGCAACATTATTAATCTTCAAAGTCAAATGAGATGATCTGCTTCAAATTAATCTGTTATTAAGAGGGAAGTGATTTTATGAACATATTTGATATTTGGACAATCACAAATCTTTTTAAATGTCCCAGTTGCATATAGTTTGATCTTGTAATCAAGTGATTTTGATCATTCAGTCCACTTAAATATTCTGGGGGAGGTTGAGGGCATGAAAATGGGAATTAGGATCAAATTCTTAACACTCTTTTTTGAATAACAAACAATTCCTGCTACATTGCTGGATTCTTATTTAAACTTAATTTGTTTGTACTTTCAGCATACATATATTCACCTAATACTTAATCAGTTCTGTTGCTCCTAAATTCAGATGCCAATGGGAATAGTGTTACTTGTAGCATGATGTTTGGCCTTTTGAGCAGTGCCTCTTGAACTGGTGGCTCAGGTTGCCACTGTTACAATTCCAAATACTTGGCTGAACAGAATGCCTGTTCATACAAGAGCTGCATTGTTGTACAACCTCATTCCTTCCGATGGGTGTGGAGCAGGATTAAAGTACACTTTATAGGGGTTCTAATTGCAGATGCCTAATTGACTTGATGAATAGCAAGCACTTTAAAAAAAAAAACACAAACCCCTGTTTCTGGACTGATCTGCATGACAGAACAAATGTCTCACAGGTGTTGAGAGCTTATAAGATAAAAGAGTAGTCTTTCCATATTTCCCAAGACTTTTCTTTTGAAGTCTATACACATTTTTGTATCTCATTGTTACCTTCCTTTTTGCAATGGTCCTTGGCATGAATCCATTTTATCTTTGGCTCCACCTTCCTTGTTTAAATACAAGTCTGAATTTCAGAGGGTCGGCCAAAACAAAAAGCCAAGGAAATCTTGTCAACAAGTAAATTTTCATGTAATCATTCTTTGGAAGGGAAAAAGAGTGAGAAGAAAGATTACTAATTCCAAATACCGCCCTAACAAGGTTATGTATTGGTGGTGGTTCTTCAAGATTAAATGAGTTAATATGTTGTAAACCCCTAATTTGAAGGGCTTATGAATTTATCACTGTTACCTAAGAAAAAAGAAAAAAAGTTTTAATTCATAAAATTCTACTTCGTCATGGAGAACAAACAAGATAAAATGTGAAAGAAATGTATGTGATCTCTAAGTGGTATCTCAGTCTACCCTCTGAGGGAGTATTATACCCAAGAGTATTAACATTAATCTTGTTTCCAAGGATGTTATTTTTTTTTCCCCTTCTTTTCTTTCTCTCTTTTTTTTTTAGGCAATTGGGGCTAAGTGATTTGCCTAGGGTCACACAGCTAGTAAGTGTTTGGTGTGAGGCTAGACTTGAACTCAGGTCCTCCTGACTTCAGGGTCGGTGCTCTATCCACTGAGTCACCTAGCTATCCCCTCAAGGGTGTTACTTTTCCACAAGATTAAGTTTCACAGTTTACGAATAAATTGTTGACATTTTGGAGCACCAGAGAAATGTGACCACTGTATCAGTATCTATGTGAAATATACTTAATTTCCATACTACTACCAGGGAGAAAAATAGGTTAAGAGTTTAAAAAACAAACACTTAAGACAAGAAAGAAGGAAGAGTTTGGATGCATATAGAAAGTTGGAATCAGCTGGGTGTGGTTGTGCACACCTTCTAAGGGGGGGGAGGGGGGGCGGGGGGGGGGGGGGGGGATGGGACGTCAGAGAGGCTGGTAGATTGCTTGAGTTTTGGAGTTCAGAGTTGCAGTAAGACCAAGGTTGATCCAGTGTCCACACTAAGTCTGCCACCAGTAGAGTGTGCTTCCTGGAGCAGGGGGCCACCATACTGTCCAAGGAGGGTCAAACCAGCCAGGGTCAAAAACGGAACACGTTAAAGTTTCCATGTTGCTCAGCAATGGGACTGACCTGTGGACTACTGTGCTTCAAGCCTGGATGAAAATGAGATCCAGTCTCAAAAAAAAAAAAAAAACAAAAACCCCATGTAGGATGTTGACATTATTATTATTTTAGCAGTTAATGATGGAGGTAGCAGTGGGAAACCTTAAATCTAAGATAGAGTCTTTAAAAGATTGAGCAGTTAATTTTTTGTCAGACAATTGTATTGATGATGCTATTATAAATTCCCATTAATAACATGAAAAGCTTTTCTAAAATAATAGTTTAAGTAGAATCATAAAGATAGAAGAGACCTGAAATCATTTAGTCTGACCCCTATCCATTTATACCTAAACAGTGACTTTTTTTTTTTTACAGCATCCACAATATGTGCCTAATTGTTCAGCCCCTTTATGAAGACCTTTAACAAGGGCAAACTCACTATTCCCTGAAGCAATCTGTTTCATTTGTTAATAGCTGTAGCTGTTAGAAAGTGTTTCCTTATGTAATAAAGGAAAACTGCTTCCTTACACTTCCATCCATTGGTGCTAATTTTACCTTCTGTGGCCAGAGTATATGAAAACCATTTTTTTTTAAATAGGAAAATTATATATCAGAAAAAGTTACGAAGTTGGACTCGAGACTTTTAGTAGCTGCTTTGTCTTTACCTGCTATTCCTCTTCCTGTCAACATAATTTCTTCATAAAAGCTGTCCAAGACCCAGGCTATTTACCTGCTTTGTGACTTTCCCTGTCAGGGGCTTAGGCCAAGGATAAAGGCATAAGATTCCGAGGATCTCTGTTGTGTTTAATATACCAAACTATGTGTCCATTTCAATGGTTCTCATTAACAAAGTTATAAATACATAATAAGATACTTATTCAGATACGAATGTTAAATTAAATAACTTGGTTAAGTGACTTTTATGTGTTGGAAAAATGAAAAGTAGGATTTGTAGGTCCTGGAGATGATGCTGTCAGAGAAATCATGTCATAACACAAACAATTCATTTAACATGTACAGGTATATATGTATATGTACATACTTACACAAAACTTAAAATCATTAAACCTGAAACTTCTGTTAAGAGTAAATTATGTACAGAGGCTTTTTTTTTAACTATATAGTTATCATGTCATGAACTGAAAGGAATAATTTAATTAGTGGACCCTAGTGACCTCAGCATCATAGACATTAATATAACCTGTATCAAATTGCTTTCCTTCTTAGTGAGGGGGGAGCAAAGGGAGGGAGAGAATTTGGAATTCAAAAATTTAAAATACAAATGTTGAAAATTGGTTTTACATATAAGTGGGGAAAAAATAAAATACTCCATTTTAAAAACAAGCACAATAGACTTTCAGGGAAATGTTATTTCCTTCTCATTAATGCTATCTTATTCAAATACCAGACTGAAGTTGTGAAATATATCAGTAAATTACAGCTGTTCTTTTTTTCCCCTACTTTTCAGCCTTACAGATCAAAGTAACCAAGCTGAAAAAGGAGCGAATTTTGTAAGTATCTGTAATGTAACATCAATATTTTTGCTTAAAAAGAAAATAGTATTTTATTTTTCTCATAGTCACCTATAATTTTTGAACTGGAAAAAAAATTTATCTGATTCAGTTCCCTCATCTTACATAGAAGGAAACTTAAGCACAGAGTATTACCTACCCATAATCATATGACTAGTTAGTAGCAGAGGTGGCATTAGAGGCCTGTCTCCTGACTTCCAGTCCAATGTTCTTTCCATTATACCATACTGGTTTGTGCCTTTAGGGGTGAGGAGGGGAGAGAAAAATTGATTTCTAAAAATGTATTCAAATAAAACTTAGTATTCACAAATGTAACAAATTTTTAGAAGGCAAATTTTAATTTTGCTTTGTTTCCTTACTAATCATTTTAGATCATATTATAATTATTCAGTTTTACAAATTATAAACAGCTACTGCATAAGTGGAGGCAGCTAAGTGGCTCAGTGGATAGAGCATTGGGTCTGGAATCAGGAAGACCTGAGTTCAAATCTGGCCTCAGGTAGTTACTTGCTGCGGGACCCTGGGCAAGTCACTTCTGTTTGTGATATACTGGAGAAGGAAATGGCAAATCACTCTAGTATCTTTGCCAAGAAAACTCCATGCACAGTGGTTTGAATTGAATGCCCTTGTTATCATCTAATATCTTAATATATATTATAATCATGTTATAGGCAGGTTTAGGCTTAGTACCAGCACTTACACTATACCCTAACGGTGAGATCATTTCATCTCACTATATTTTGTGTCAGGTGGCTTCAGTTTCTCCTTTTCTTTTAAACAACCAAGGATGTGATGAAAAGCTAGAATTGTTGGATACATACCTGGGAGCACTTAAGTTTTACCTATTTTCATCTATTCTAATCTGAAAATGAATGTAAAAAGAAATACTTTCCTTCTCAAGGTTAGGCTAAATTTTTGACTAAATTTGAAATCTTTAAAGTCACATACAGTATAATAGGGGAGTCAAAGCTGAAGCAGTGTGTAAGCAATATGGATTGGGCTGATTGGCTCAGATTGATAGTTGGGCATTTCAAATCGGTTTTTATTAGAGTATGACTAAAAACAGCTTTTATAGATGCTGCAGAACACTTTATTTAATTTATATATTCTATTTCCTTATGAAGTTCTGCTACAAGAGAGAACTCCTAATTCTCAGATTCCTTCACTTCTAGAGAAGCTCCCAACAGGTTTCTCCTGAAGAGAAGAGTCAAGATGGGGTACACAAACCACATTTTTATAACCTCAGTGAATACTCATTGCACTTCTTACACAATGGCTCCCACTTAGGCAGTACTGAATTATCAACATGATCACAGTATAGGGAAAGATCATAAATTCCCTGCTCTTTTTGTGGACAGTTAGTTACTGTTTTCCTGACACCTCTAATGGCACGGAGCTGTAGTGAACTTAAATTCACAGCCAGACCTCATCTTTGTGTTGTTGTTCAGTCATTTTCAGTAGTATCCCCATTTGGGGTTTTCTTGGCAAAGATACTAGAGTGATTCGCCATTTCCTTCTCCAGCTCATTTTACATATGAGGAAACTGAGGCAAACAGGGTTAAGTGATTTGTCCAGGGTCACACAGCTAGTAAGTATCTGAGAACAGATTTGAGTTCATGAAGATGAGTCTTCCTGACTCCAGGCCCAGCTCTCTATCCTCTGCACCTTGTAGCTGTCTTTATATTTAAGAGTTATCTGCATGATTATAGGGTTTAGATTTCTTAAAAAGTCAGTCAAAAGTTAAAATCAAGTAGCATTCGTTCTTGATTGCATCATTAAAATTTCTTACTACCTATTTGTTCCCTGGTTTTATGAGGTTTATAACGATTTTGTCCATTGAAAATCCCAAGGTAAAATGTATGTTTTGCTTTCAGGAAAAGACAGGCACTTTTGTTAATGGTAAAGAATTTTTTCTGAAATGTTTTTAGAGAGAATAGTTTTCAGTTTTAGAATTGTGAAATTTACTTATTATGTTATTCATTTCATACTCAGAATAGCCTGAATAGTGAATATATTTGATTTAGTTTCTACCGGTTTTTTAATCATCTCTAGAAGATGAGTATTATCAGTGGCATTCTGTTTGTGACTTAATACATACCAAACTAAATAGCTAAATTATGGTTCACTGGAATCATTCTACAAGCCTCTCATTGTATGTATAATAGCCTTATATAGAAGGTCTTGTTCCTTCTGACTCTTTTGAATACCTAAGGTTTAATATTTCAGAGTTGATAACTAGTTGGACAATAAGTCCCTTATGCTGTAGTTTCATTCACCATTGAAGCTAATGATCTTGTAAATGCCGGGTCATAGACCATTCATTAGGAATACTACCTTCAGAGCCAAAATGTCAGTCATTTTGGTCAAGTAGTATTTCAGTTTGCAAGGTGATTGTAAATTTTAAGTTATATTCACTACCAAAATGTTTTTCAAAAGAAGCTGAAGTTTTACAGCAAAGGATACTTAAAGTAAACCTAACAATAACATGTATATTGTACTTGTCGAGGAATTAAATGTTTAAAACAATACTTCCATAAACCTGAAATATTAACAGTAAGTATTAAGTTTTGATATTGTCATAATCACAGAATTGTGGAAGCTTAGAGTTGGAAAGGGACACCAGTGTCCATCTAGTCCAGCTCTTACCTGATCAGAAATCTCCACAACATACCCTATACGTGAGTGGTCTTTCAGCCTTTGCTTGAAGACCTCAAATTAGGGAGGACCCATTACCTTTCAAGATAATCCAAGTATGCTTTTGGATAGTTCTTATTGTTAGGAAGTTTTTATTTATATCAGGCCTAAATTCGGGTTTTCACAATTTCTACCCATTTGCTTCTAGTTATGATAAAAAGCAGAATGAATCTATTTTCTCTTCCATATGACAGCCCTTCGTGTATTTAAAGACTGCCATCACGTTCCCCTTAGTTGTCTTTTTCAGGCTAAATATTCCCAATTCCTGTACTAGTTATCATATGTCATAAACTCAAGCTCCTTCACTGTTCTGGTTGTTTTCCACTGCACACTCTCCAGCTAGTCAATGTCTTTCTTAAATTGTGATACTTAACAACTGAACAAAATGCTCTAGATGTAGTCTGACTAGGGCAGAATAAAATTAAACTGTTACCTCTTGATTCCTGGATGCCAGATCTCTCAGGACAGCTTAAGATCACTTTGTTGATCATATTGAGCTCCAAATCCACCAAAATTCTCATATATTTCAGACACGCTCTTGTCTAGCCTTATCTTCTCTATCTTGAACTTGTAAACTTGACTTTTTAAATGTAAGAGTACATTTATCCTTATTGAATTTCATTTTATTCCATATCCTGTGTTTTAACCTATCAAAGAGCTCTCTGAATCCTGTCCGCCAGTTGTATGTCATCTGCAGATATGATAAACATTCTGTGACTTTTTCCATATGATTAAATAAAAACATTAAATAACAGAAGACCAAATATGAAACCCTAGGACATGCCACTGGAGACTACCTTTTTACTTCCTACTTCTTACCACTTTATCAGAATGAAATTATTTTCACTTGCAGATAGTTGCTCAATTGTAATTAAAAATTAGGTAACTAAAATTTTTGAATTTTATAAACAGAATGCTAATGTGTATTTTCCCTGACAATGGCCGCCCCTGCCCAGTTACCCCTTTTTTTTATTGAATTAAGAAAAAGTTCTTTATATTTAGATATGATGCTTTATATGACTTGCTTAAAATATTATGAAGTCTATGAATAACATGCCAGGTATGAAAACAGACTGGTTATATAGTAACTGCAATATAAGTACTATGTATATATAGTGGTGTACTTCAAGTACCCTTAGGGGTCATATACCTGGCAAAGGTAAGTGGCTACTTTGAGAAATGAGAAGAGAACTACTAAGGTTCTACTGTCCACAGATCAAGTTAAGACTGCTTCCAGGCCAGAGACTGGATTTCTACTGATTTTAGTCCTTTTTGTCTTTTTCTCCCTATTACCAAATACCATTGTGATAAGAGTATAGCTTTTTCTGTTTCCAGAGGCTTCTTGCCCCTAGGAATCCCTCCTTGAGACAGAGACATGACAGTTAAATGTGTTATCATTAAATCTTCCCAGGCTTATATTTTGGTCGTAAATCATGCTGACTTGCAATTGCATACATTTTACTTTATAAGAGCCAGGATCTGTTCCATTTTTGTCTTTGTATCGTCAGCGCCTAGCACAGTAATATGCTCAGAGTAGGTGCTTAATAAATATTTATTGATTAATTGAATGTAGTTTTTTAAAATAAACTGATGGACATGACTAATTTTGTTAGGAGAGATGAAAATTTTAGGCACTATTGTTATCTCTTTGGGAGCATCTAGTATAGTGCTTTTGTACATAATAAGTATTTAATAAGTTATAGTCCATATGGTTAAATAATGAAAGAGGTCATCCCATTTGCTATGTTCAGTGAAAGGATGACTTCTGTCTTCCTAAATCTTAGTGCTTTAGTTTCTTCATAGCTATATTGATTTTATTGAATCTTCTGAAGTTTCTGCTATGACTGCCCACTTGGCATTTGCAAATCACCTTTGCAAGGGATTTTCAAGAAAATCCTTTCTTTTACTAGTGGATTTTTAAAGTTGTAAATCAAGGACTCTGAATAAATAAAAATTGTATTAAATACAATTAAATTCAATTTATGCATTTTGACTTTTTCATTTTTTCTATCACAGAAGACAATTTCTTTGTGGTGAGTCAGGTTCATAATGATTTAACTGTCTTCTACCTGTTTTTTTTTATTCAGACCTACTAAAGTAATGAGGCAAAACTATGTTTTTGGTTTGTCAAATCAGTCTTGCTACTTTAAAGTCACGTACATATAATTTTGCACCTACAATTTGTCATTTGTTTACAATATTTTACATATGACTAGTGCATTTGTTATATAAACAGAATGCAAAATATTCCATTGACTCAGCAAAATAGCCATTTAACCCCAAGAATTATACTGAGTCATTAGTTTGATGACATTCTGGAAATATGTACATTGGGATACACTTACAGATAAAACTGCCTTAAAGCAAAATTCTTTTGGTATAGTATAGTTAACCCGTTTTGGATAGGTTCCAGTATGGATCCCTTTTATTGCATTGTATCCTAGTTGTCAGAACAAAACTCTAATATATTTTTAGTTGTTTGAACTATTTTGGTAGACTCATTTGTATGGCCTTGAAAAAATTTTTGTGACTGATTTTTTTGGACAGTTTAAGAGTCATCATATTACCCTTCTAAGGAATTTATAAATTTACACAGACCGTTATTCTTACAACTGGTTTGAGGAAACTTATCAAGTAATTGAGATGCTAGTTTTATACTTTTAAAGCTGTCTTATTTATCTTTCATAACTTGGTTTAGTTTTAAGACAAATATTTGCTGATTCTTTGTTCTGAGTTATCATAGAATATTTAGCTGCCAGAAAGTCAAATGGTAATGTAAAGTGTATTTCATCATGTTGATAGTTATAGAAAATACCTTTATGATATATACTTTTCACTCAAAATATATAAATTCTTATAAACAAATATATAGACTTATAATTTGTGTGTTTGTGTATGTGTACACATTTGTGTGTGTATAATGGCACTTTTAAGATCATTTAGATTTAATGCTGTACTTAAGGAGATGATATTATCTAGTAGCACAGAAGCTAAAAGACAATCCTGCATATGAATTTAATTATGTTCTGAAACCATGATTAAGTTGTTTGATTTTTGTGGGATTTACCTAAAATTACAAATTGTGGTCCGAATTTATTTATTGTTTATGAGCTGAATTTTTGGGCATACATAAATGTACCTTTTGGAAAATTAGAAAATAATTTGGTTTTCTGCTGAACTAGAAACAGCAATTTAAAAGAATCAACTATATCATGAATTTTTGTATTTTAAAAGGTACATTATGATTGCTTACAGTTGAAACTTTATAGCAGTTATTATAAGAAGTGGAAAGCTATGATTCTTTAATTTTGTTAGTATCTGAAAGTCATTCATATTGTATACCTTTCATGCCCTTAATATTAAAAAAATAAATATTTTTCAACCACTTAGCCTTTTGGGGAAAACCAATAGGAAGGCATTGGAATTTAAGGTAGTTCTTATCATTCTTATCCAGTCGAATTAAAACTGTATACAATTTTGTTTCCAAGTTCTGGCTGATTAGTTATTTTAGACATTTTAAAGAAGCCAAATGCTAATAAAATGAGAGGGTATTGAAACAATTCCTTGTAATCCCATAGTAATAATATTTGACCTCTTAGGGCTATTTGTTTCATAAAAATACTTTTCTTTTCTTTTTTTTTCTCAAGAGATGCACAGAGATTGGAAGAATTTTTTACCAAAAATCAGCAACTCAGAGAGCAACAGAAAGCCCTTCATGACACCATTAAAGTTTTGGAAGATCGGTGAGTTTGCAATTGATTATAAAGTATATTTTGAAATAGAGATAATTTTTTATGTAAATACATTAAGTTTAGTTTTTAATCATGTTTGGAATTAAAAGCTGATATCCCCACCACTACCACTACCACCACCACCACTACCACCACCTCCTGTCTCCTGCCCCTTTCCCTCTGTAAATTCTGAAAAAGAATTCCCCCCAAATGAGGAAATACTATCACGGTTATAGAACCAAAGATTAAGATATTGTTCTCTGATTCCTTCCTTCATTCTGCTAGGCTGGAAATAATCTCTTACTTCTGTGTTTTCACTTTGTACATCTTTCATAGCACTTACCTACTTTTCTTGTTGAAACAGAGAAGATACTAAATAGTGTCCTTTTTTTCTTCTACCCCACTTCTAGTCCCTTGCTTACATGAGTACTATATCTTTTTGAAATTTTATTTTGTTTTCAATTGCAAATACCTTCTCTGCATCCTTCAACACTGAGAAGGCAAGGAAGACAAAACTCATTACAAATATATACAGACATGGAAAAGAAACTTCTGCATTAGCCAAGAAAAAAAGTAGCATTGTGATTTTTATTATATTGGCTTAGCCTCCCCATGAGCAATTACTATTTCTGCAACTGTTTAGGTCTGGTTTTATGTGTGTGAAGAGTTTTGTAATTGTATTTATATAGTTCCTGTGTGTGTGTCTTGGCATGTAAACTCCCAGGTATTTTATAGTATCTGTAGTTATTTTAAATGTAATTTCTCTTCTAGCTATTCCTTCTGGGTTTTGTTGACAATTTATAGAAACACTGATGATTTTCTGTGGATTTATTTTGTATCCTGCAACTTTGCTGAAGTTGTTAATTATTTTGATTAGTTTTTTAGTTTACTCTTTGAGGGTTCTATATAAATCATTATATCGTCTGCAAAAAGTGATCATTTTGTTTTTTCATTGTTTATATTTCTTCAGTATCTTTTTCTTGTCTAATTGTTAAAGCCTGCATTACTAATACTATACTAATAGTATTACTAATATTAGTAGTAAATTTTTAATATACTACTGTTACTACTACTACTGATAATAATACTTCAACTCTGATCTTATTTTTTCAATTTTTTTATTTTCTTTTTACAATTTTTTTAAACTTAATAGTATTTTATGTTTTTCTATTACAAGTAAAGATAGTTTTCAACTTTCATTTCTGTAAGATTTTGAGTTCCAAATTTTTCTTCCTCCTTCCTCTCCCCTCTCCCCTCCCCAAGACAGCAAGCAGCCTGATATAGGTTATACATCTAGTCATGTTAAACATATTTCCATATTAGTCATGTTGTGAAAGAAGAATCAGAACAAAAGGGAAAAACCATGAGAAACAGAAAAGCAAAGTGAAAATAGTTTGCTTTGATCTGCATTCAGACTCCATAGTTCTTTCTTTGAATTAGATAGCATTTTCCATCACAAGTCTTTTGGAGTTGTTTTGGGTCATTGTATTGCTGAGAAGAACTAAGTCTATCATAGTTGATCATTGTATAATGTTGCTGTTTCTGTGTATAGTGTTCTCCTGGTTCTGCTCACTTCACTCAGAATCAGTTCATGTAAGTCTTTCCAGGTTTTTCTGAAATCTACGTGTTCATCATTTCTTATAGCACAATAGTATTCCATTAATTCATACACCACAACTTGTTTAGCCATTCCCCAATTGATTCGCATCCCCTCAATTCCCAATTCTTTGCCACCAAAAAAGAGCCCCTATAAATATGTTTGTACATGAGGGTACTCTTCCCTTTTTTATGATCCCTTTGAGATACAGACCTAGTAGTGGTTTTGCTGGATCAAAGGGTATGCACAATTTTATAACCTTTTGGGCATAGTTCCAAATTGCTCTCCAGAATCAACCCTGATCTTATTAAAAAAGACTTATGGCTTTCCCCCATTACAGATAATGTTTACTTTTGCTTGTAAACCAATAATACTTATCACTTCAAGGAAAGCTCCATTTATCGCCATAATTTCTAGGTTTTTTTTTTTTGGTCAAAAGCTTTTTCTTCATCTATTATAATAATTACATGATTTCTGTTGATTTTGTTAATTTGGTCAGTTATGCTGCTAGTTTTCCTAATATTGAACCAGCTCTGCCTTCTTCATATAAATCCACAGCGGTAATAGTATAAAATTTTTTTGTTATATTGTTTTAATCTCCTTATTAGTGTTTCATTTAAAGTCTTTGCATCTGTCAGGGAAATTGGCTTATAGTTAATCTTTTTCTGTTTTTTCTTTCCCTATTGTAGGTATTAAGACTATATTTGTGTCAGGGAGGGAATTTGGTAGTACTCTTTGTTTATCTGTTTTTTCAAATAATTTATGTTGTATTGGAATTAATTGTTCTTTAAATGTTTGGTAGAATTCACTTGTAACTCCATCTAGTTCTAGTTTTTTTTTTCCTTAGGGAGTTCACTTATGATTTGTTTAGTTCCTTTTTCTAAAATAAGATTATTTTAGTATTTTAAGTATTCTGTTCTGTTAATCTGTGCAATTTATATTTATATTAAATTTATATTTATATGATATTTATATTTCAGTATAATCTATTGATTATCAGTTTTATTGGCATATAGTTTGTCAAAATAGCTCCTAATAATTGCTTTTGTTTCCCCTTCATTGGTTATTAATTCACCTTTTTCATTTTTTGGTACTGGTAATTTTGTTTTCTTTCAGTTTAAAAAATCAATTAGCCAGTAGTTATCTTTAAAAAAAAAAAAACAACTCCTAGTTGGTTTTGGTTTTGGTTTTGGTTTTTTACTTTCAGTTTTGCTAATCTCTCCTTGGAGCATCAGGATTTCTATTTTGGAGGTTAGTTGGGGGGTTTTAATTTGTTAGTTTTCTTATTTTTTTAATTGCATGCCCAATTCATCAATCTGCTCTTTCTCTTTTTTGCTTCAAATTCCACATTTTCCATTAAGTATTACATTAGCTGTATCCCACAAATTTTGGTATGTTGTCTCATTGTTGTCATTTAATGAAATTAGTGAGTGTTTCTATAATTTGTTTTTTGACCCACCCATTCTTCAGGATTAAATATTTAGTTTCTAATTAATGTTTACTCTATACTTTAAAGGCCTTTTAGCAAATGTCGTTTTTATTCCATTATGGTCAGAAAAAAATGCATTTAATATTTCTGCTTTTCTGCATTTGTTTGTGAGATCTTTATGTTCTAATACGTGGTAAACTTTTGTGAAGATGCCAGATACAGCTGTGAAATAGATATTCAGACAGTTCTTGCTTTAAGTGAATTTGCATTATGCAAATTCAACTCCGGGGCAGGCAGACCCCATGCTAGAAGCAGTGCCAGTGCACTGTGCAGCCAGAGGTTCTGTACATTAGTGCTCTGGCATTGGGCCAGAGAGGGTGTGGGGCCACGCTCACCCCCAAAAGCGGGGGAGGAAAAGGTGTGCAGAAGGGTCCACTTACATATATTAAGTGAAATCTGGCTGTACCCCTTTCTATTCCCATATAATATTTTCCAGAGGTCTTCATGTCTAATTTTTCTAAGATTCTATTCATCTCCTTTACTTTCTTGTTTATTTTATCATTAACTTTATCTAGGTTTGAGAGGGTTAAATTGAAGTCCTCCACTATTTTAGTTTTACTGTTTATTTCAGATGCTAATCCCTCCATTCCTTTATAGTGGCAGCTGTTAAATCTTTTGTGATCCTAATTGTGGCTCCATAGTACTTGAATTCTTTCTTTCTGGCTGCTTGCAGTATTTTCTGTTTGACCTGGAGTTCTGGATTTCAGCTATAATATTCCTGGTAGCTTTCATCATGGGATATTTTTTTTCAGGATGTGACTAGTGGATTTTTTTCAGTTTCTACTTTGCCTTCTGACTCTCAGATATCTGGGCCGTTTTCCTTTAAAATAATTTCTTGGAGCCGCTAGGTGGATCGGTGGATAGAGCACCAGCCTTGAAGTCAGGAGGACCTGAGTTCAAATGCGGCCTCAGACCAAACACTTGACACTAGCTGTGTGACCCTGGGCAAGTCACTTACCCCCAATTGCCTAAAAAAAAATAATAATTTCTTGAAATAATGTCAAGGATTTTTTTGTTTGTTTGTTCATTGCTTTCAAATAGACGGTGATCCTTAAAATAACTCTCCTCAGTCTGTTTTCCAAGTCGGTTGTTTTTCCTGTCAAATATTTTTTATTTTCTGTCTTTTGTTTTTGTTTTATTATTTCTTGACATCAAAAGAGATCAGCTTCCGTTTGGCCAATTCTAATTTTTAAGGAATTCTCTTCTTCAGTAAGTATGTATTTTAATGAGCTTTAATTCTCTTTTCATAACTTTCTTGGATAGCCCTCATTCCTTTTCCAGTTTTTTCCTCAGTCACTCTTATTTGTTTTTAAAAATCATTTTTTGCTTTTTCTTATCTCTTTATTTAGCACTTGCTTTGTCTAGTAATTCTTGTTGTAATTGTATCTGGTTTACATTTTCCTTTAAGCCTACACTTGATGTTTTCAAGTCATCGTTTTCTTCTGTGTTTGTCACTTGAGCTTAGCTCTTTGTAGTTGGCTTCTTTTTAGTTTGTTCATTCTTCCATCCTACTTCTCAGCTTTGCACTTTGCACTAATGTGGAGTTCTGCTCATTTCTGGGGGGCTTGAACTTCTGCTGTTTTCAAAGCTCAATATGGGGACCTATAAGTTTTCATTATTTCCAAAGTGGAGAGGAGTCTGTTCACTGCCATCCTGGTCTTGAGTTCTGCAAGTTCCTAACTCAAGTTTCAGTCTGTTGCTTTGTGTGTAATTGAATTTCAGTCCCTGTTAGCCTGCAGGAAGGCTCTTCAGCTTTAGAGTGACTGAACGGCTGGAATCCTTTTGGTCTTGGGCAGAAGACCACTGGATATTCCACTGCAGGCTTGTGTGCTGGGAATAAGGTTAGAACTGAGTCTCCTCTCTGCTGCTCTGCTCAGAGTTACATAGTTAAATTTTGGGAATTTGTTTTCTGTTCATTGTGCAGCT